GTTACATTTCTCAAAGCAAAGCTTAACGCCGCTGTGCAGAGACTGAGGTCAACACGACCGATAGACGTAAGCAAAAGATCCAGTTCACACGGAGGAAGATCTGTGCCTAGATAGTTCAGCCTTGTAACGCTGTAATTGTTTTGATTAAATCCTGTCTACTTTCATTTGCCAGGCAGTTTACTAAATACAAAATCTAGACCTATACTAAGAATGAGTAAAAGTCCGCGGTGTTCCCTTGAGTCGATGTAAGCGAAATACGCCAGAAAAACAGCAGCTGAAATTTGGAGTACCACAAGGATCTACGTAGGGACCTATCCTTTTCACAGTATATACCCTGCCAGCCGGCGACAACGCACCGAGTCATAACCTACTATACAATCTACACGCAGTCGACACACAACCATATCTGGCCTTTAGACCAAAGAATGGTCTGTCCACCAGAAATGCCTACGCAACTGTAATGAGTTGTGTGAATACCATCAGGCATGTGGCAACACCCTTCTTTAAACTGAACGAGGACAAAACAGAGCTATTGGTCATCTGCTCAAAATCCTCGTAACCTCACCTTGTTCTCCCTGACTTCAGCCTTGGAGAGAGTGTAATCACACCCAGCCATAGTGCCAGAAACCTGGGCGTTAATCACAGATCCGCTTGGATAAGCATATCATAGCCATATGCTAATGTTCACAACATCGGACACATCTGGAGTTGTGTCAACGTCGGGGCTTCAAAAATGTTGATCCAAGCTGGTGTCGTCTCCAGGTTGGATTGCTGTAATACCCTCTCTATGGCATAGCTAAGAAGGATGCAGAAAAACTACAGCGTGTTCAGAATACAGCAGCAAGAATTCTGACAGGAACACCTAAGTGAGAACACACCATTCCAATATTGACTGAACTGCACTGGCTGCCGATCCAACAAGGAGTGCAATTTAAACTACTCACTCTGGCTTACCAGGCAATGCATAGTTTGGCTACTGCATACTTACAGGAATTGATAGTATCATACAAGCCTGCACGTTCTCTCCGATCAAAAGATCAACATCTGCTAGTGGTGCCAAAGTCATGTACCAAACCATATGGCGATAGGTCTTTTCAACATGCTGGCCCATTGCTATGGAACAATCTGCAACAAAAAATCTGAAAAACAGAAAATCTGATTAACTTTAAAAATACACCCCAATCATGCCTCTTCAAGAGAGCCTTCGACTAGATCAATCATGATTTAAGCGCATTTGAGCAGCTGTTAATTGGAAAATGGGCTGGACAAATTTTTAATTTGATTTTATTTAATTTAACATGGATGATGTTGCTTTCCAAAAGAAGGCAGAACCCAGAAAACTATAATCCTGATTGGCCTTGTAGCTACTGCAAAAATAATGATGTGGATACCAATATAACCTGGCAGTAGACTGCCGGGGTTTAGCGACGGCTAATGACGAACTATCTACATGCGCCATATGGGAAATGCTTCAACAAACAGACTTAACACAGGAGTTACGCAAGGCTTCATGCTACTGCCATCAACATTAGCACGTTTAGGGACAGTGAAGAGTTCTGCGTGCACGGTATATCCTGTTTTCTCGTATGTCAGGCACGTTACTTCACAGTTACCTGAAATAACCCTCTCGTCACTTGTCAGAGACAACCACACTTACGAGGCTTTCAAAAGACTTCTCCATTCTGAGAATGTGTGTACGTGCGGAAGAAGATATGTTCGGCGTTACGCTTAATTCTGTGTTCTTTACAGTGTTGGCGAAACGTTTAGGGACATATTCTGGTTTCAGAACGTGTTTGTTAAGGATGAAAGGATTTAGAGTTGAAGTCAGAAAAAGAAAGGATCTGCTCTTGCCAGCAGTAAGAAATGTGGAATGTCTTATGGCTTTAAAAGTATCAGATGATTAGGTGCTAAATTTACAATGCTCCAAAGGACAAATAATTATCACAGTCCCCACTAAGGACTGTGGGGTAGCCTAACAGTTGGTTAAAGTGATCGACCGAGCTACGATTCCCAGCATGGGAATATGCTCCTATATACTGTAGAAAATCAAATTTCCATCATGATTTTGCTTAAATATTGCAACAGTATGCCCGATCACTACAGCTTCATTTCCTTTACACTAATCCGATTAACCTTATTATGTTTTTTTAGTTTTAATCATCGTCTCATGCGCCGCAATTCGCTGTGTTCAGTTGCGTCTCTACCGTGTTCCAGAATCATCTTGTCGTGGGTTCGAATCCTAAACGTGATTATAATGCTTGGTTTGCTTGTACCAAGCCAATGTTCCGGGTTTTCGGCACCATGTCGGTTACGTTTAAATAAATAAAATCGACAAAACCATTCAGAAAATCAGAAGTATTCTCTGCTAAAAGCAGAGCCCGTTGTCCAGTTCCGATTATAAACTAGTGTCCAAAAGAAACGATACCAACTTATTTTCAAAATTGTTTTTTACTAAGTGAATTGTCAAGTATGAAAACATGCCAATTCGTATTGCACATCCCAAACACAGCATAGTCGATAAAAAATACCGGGAACACGTGATCACTTCCGGGAAAAAACGTAAATTTCGTGAAAGTGACATTTCACTCTCTAGCATGTTCTGCACGTGCAGAAAAACTGTATAAAACGGCTGATCAGACACGTTGATATCACAGCAACAAAAAGAACACAAGATATGCCACGTTTGACAGCCATCGAGAGAGAGAGAGCCGTTGGAATGGTCCAACAAGGAGCGTCACACGTCGACGTCGCCAGAAGGTTGGGCTGCGCACGCATCACTATCACCAGGTTGATGCAGCGGTTACGTCAGACAGGTCAGACGTCAGACAGGCCTAGGAGTGGAAGACCACGAGTAACCACGCCCCGTGAAGATCGTTACATCCGGGTATTACACCTGAGGAACCGCACCGTAACAGCGACGTCCACGGCGGCTACAGCACTGGGACACAGGATCAGTCGAGAGACCGTCTACAGGAGACTACGGCAGTATGGTATACGGCCACGTCATCCCTACCGCGGACCGCTCCTGACGCCTCGACACCGGAACAACAGACTGATCTGGGCAAGGCGAGTTCGACGTTGGCAACGGCGGGACTGGGCACGTGTTATGTTCTCTGATGAGAGCAGATTCCTCATCTTCAGAAACGATGGACGGCAGCTTGTATACCGACGATTTGGTGAACGTTTGGTGCCTAACTGTATCCAACAGGTCCGGCCGTTTGGAGGTGGAGGGTTAATGGTTTGGGGTGGCATATGGGGTGACGTCAAAACGATGCTTGTCGTAATTCGTGGAAACCTGAATGCACAGCGTTATCTTGATGACATCCTACGGCCTGTTGTGGTGCCCTTTATTCAGCAACAGCCTCGTGGACTCCTTTTCCAACATGACAATGCAAGGCCACACACAGCAAGATTGACACAGAACTTCCTTGCCAACGCCAACGTACAGGTTTTGCCATGGCCCGCATGTTCACCGGACATGAATCCCATCGAGCACTTATGGGACCACCTCCATCGGCAAATCCGACGTCGCCGTGTGCCTCCAGTCAACGTCCAGGACTTGGAACGATGTCTCCTCGAGGAATGGCAACGCATCACTCCCAACGTCATCAGACGTTTGACGTCATCAGTCCGTAGGCGTGTTCTGGCATGTATTGATGCTCACGGTGGACATACCAGCTACTGACTTGACTTTGAGACGTGTGGTGTGACATTTCCCGTTGTTTCTGTGATCAGTGCTCTAACGAAATGTTCATTTTTCGACCCCACCCATCTTTAAAGGCTTGTCATATTGGTTGTACAGATTTTATTGAAATGAAATTTTTTTACAGATGTTGTGAAAGGATTTCTCAAAAGCATAACACCAATCCTAAACTTCTGCATTGTTTAGTTTTTCTTTTATGTCGTTGCTAACAGGTGGTATCGTTTCTTTTGGACACTAGTTTATTATAGGTATGTGTTTATGAATCACTATTACATAGTATTGATACCAGGTGTTCGCGAAACGGTGCGCGTATCCTGTCCCATCGGGGAGACCCGTCACAAACATATGCAAAGGCAACTCAAGTATTCCCCTGAACAAACCTCAAGTGTTCACCCATCATGGAAGTAAAGTTTCTAATCCATACCCATAGATATCTTAACGACGTGACATTCCTCTGGAGAAATGTGGGAGAACCTACAAATACAGAGACCCATGCTTCCATGCAGCTATTCGCTGTGATTAACTCTGGTGTGACCTGGTTAGTATTGGGCCAGTATGCTTTACTGTATATCCCTAAAGTCTCTCTGATGTTGAGCTTGTGTTACTGTCATGTAGGCTTGACAACGTACTAAACGAAGATGAGTCTGGACAATCCACCTGATGTGAAGAGGACTCTCGTTGCATTGATACAAAATCACAACGAACTCCTATCCAAGTCACATCCTCAGCATGTTATTGTAAATATCCCAACTCGGAGGATGAATAAAGTATATGTATTACCCACGTGGTGAAGATACAGGTGGTAAGATACTTAATCCGTACGTCACACATGTGTCGTACAAGGTTGACCTCGTTTCATTCGTTTTGATTGGATAACCGTTACCTCTGTCACACCGGGACTACTTTTATCATTCATTTGGCAACTACAAGGCAAAACTGAAGCAATCTCTTAAGAGAGTGAGATATTTGCAAACACTTTATAAATCCAAACAAGATAGTCACAAGATTCAAATTCGGTTTGCAATCTATATACGTTAGGCATAGAGCTTCTACGGACATTATACAATCGTGCTATCCATTTACAATGTACGACTACCGATCAATAGATCTGAAGTCATACATTATGTAGTGTCATCCACCACACATGGACAGAACGACATCATTAGCTATTTTCAAATTTATTATAGATGTTTTTAATTATTAAAAGATAGTATTATTATTTTTATTAGTGTTGTTGTTGTTGATATATAATAATTGTTCTTATTATTATCGTTATGAATTTCTGTTCTATTTCCAGATGGGTGACATCGATGCAGTGAAACCTGACTGTTTTCTTGTTGTGTTTTCACTAACCGACATCACAACTTTTGAAATGGCCAAAAACTTGGTTCGTCACATTCGAACCGACCTCGGAAACAACTGTGCCATCATCATGGTCGCCAATAAGACCGACCTTGTGCGGCGGAGGCACATATCTGAAAGAGGTATGATCAACGTTTTCAATACTGAATAATACTGAAACCCTTTAACAACTTAAAGTTTCTAAGATTGCAGTATTATTTTTTTTCAAAAGAGTACCCCTCTGACAAGTGTAAATTGGCACGGCTCCCATGGCCGAAAGCTATGAATACACAATGCCATTTTAGAAAGTTGTCAAATATAACAAATGTTATATTTGGGATAACACTTTCTTAGTAAAGTACAGATTCTCGTACATTTTGGGTTAAGTCCCGTCCGGGAATCGAACCCACACTTGCCAGAGTGAGGCACCTAATCGCCAGCACACTAAGTCAGCGATCTAACCCACTCAGCCACCGGGGCTTCCACAAAAATGAAAGTCCGACAACTTGTAGTCCAGATCACGTACTTTGAGTACCCCTCTGACAAGTGTAAATTGGCACGGCTCCCATGGCCGAAAGATATTAATACACAATGCCATTTTAGAAAGTGGTCAAATGTAACAAATGTTATATTTGGGATAACACTTTATTAGTAAAGTACAGATTCTCGTATTTTTTGGGTTAAGTCCCGTCCGGGATTCGAACTCACACCACCAGAGTGAGGCACCTAATCGCCAACACACAAACTTAATCCAGTAACATGCCCGTATTTTTAACCCTCCCCAACACAACACCTGCTTTAAGAACACACCAAACGTTATCCAGTAATATATTTTCACACAATTGTAACGTTTCAAACTAACTGAAGGTCGGTCCTTTTTTGTGAAGGTCATATGTAACGTGACACATAAAACAAGATGGACATGCAGCAGATGACATTCTAACAACTCCACCGACATCCTGCAAGTCACTGAATTGTACTTTCGCTGTTCTGTGCAACAAGTCATGTGTTATTCTGAGTCACTTTCCCACTCTCCTGTCGTTCTCCCAGGCCGGTAATTACCTGTTTGAATAATGAGCACTGCTGGGAATTTCTCACACGCAACGTACCACAGACCAACTCCTTCCACAGCCTTGTAAACATGGAGAAGTCCTAGTGCTATGATAACATTAATCATTCTAATTTGCTAATGGGTGTATCTCTGGAGATAACCAGTCCCCCTAATCGGATATTCGTGTTCGTGGTTGTTCGTTTCGTGGGCCATCAAGTTAAAACGTGTGCTCATTATACTGATGAGATTTAATGCCAATTGGATGAGTTGATGTGTTTTGATGTTCACGTTTATTGCGTTAATTGGTTGGGAGGACCCCCGGAGGCAATATATGCCAAAAATATTGAATGAAAAACATGTTGGAAATATTTTATGAATATCAATCTACGTTAAAGTAAAAACGGTACAGCACAGCACAGTGTAAGAAAGGATAATTAATATTATCACCACACAATTTAAACCATAGTTTCATGTTCCATGTGTTTTCGCTACCTATATGACTTGATATATGAGATAATTACAATATATTGTATTCTATCATTTTCACAATATATAATATAAACTGTCAGGAAAAAGAAAGTGAACACTTGGATTTGACCAAAAAATCATAAACGTTATCAAAACCTTAACAGATCGAAAACAGTCGCCGAAACGCTGCAAAAGGTCCAAAACACAACTATGACAACCGTATGAAATACATGACCATTGAATAACCAATTCTTGTTTGTTTCATATTTAGACATCATGAAACATGGGTGTATATATTTTATTTTGCCTGGCGGTTTATCATGTTTTATTGTTTTATAAGATATATATTATAATATGATGAATTGTATTGTAATATTTTTTTCAATGAAACGATATTACATCCTGTTTTCATCTACGCATATGAATTATAACGGCAACAATTAATGAGTCTGTTTTATTTACAGATGCCATATCTATTGCTTGCAAATACGACTGCAAGTACGTGGAGATTTCTATTGCCTTGAATCACCGAGTGGATGACCTTATTGTTGGGATCCTCACCCAGATCCGACTCCGGTTGCGGCCAGACAGAGACAAGGCCCTGGACAAAAGACGCAACAAGATGTCACGTCCCAAGAAAATCATGACAAACCTTTTCAGCAAACTGTTCAAAATCGGCCATACATCCGAAACGCAAAGATGCGAGGATCTTTTTTCTTGAGCAATACAACTCGTGTGGTGATGGTGATATTCAACCGATTTCGTTACAGAATATCTGTTCACTGGAGTCAACCATTGGAGTGGTGGATGTGCCATCGCTGGTACGTCTTGGTCATGATGTGACGACCGTGACAAATATGAGACCTTGACGTTTTCGTTTCTGTCCATGTGGTTTTGGAAACTACGAAAAGGATATCATCGTAGTCAGTTTTCAGATAATTTTCAATGCGTTTTGGCCAAAACATGACCTTATTTCCTTTTTCAAACATATTTGTGAGCAATTGCTTTAATACTTCACAGTTGTATTTACGGTGGCAGTTTAAATGAACACTTGCTCAGATGTGTTTGCATTCTTTATTTCAGTGTGGATTTACTACTGTGCTGCCGTTATGATAGTTTCAGTGCTGGTAACGACCCTTGTGTCCTTTTCCCCATCTCCACAAAATACTATCAATATTGGACGAGACATTGACATGCTAGACACTCCAACAACTAATTGGTGTAAATAGAAGCTACTTTTTTCCTTGTACGGTTTTGATAAAATGTTACTTTATATGTTTTCTTAAGTTGTGTTTTCTTTTGGTTTTTCGATGATTCTCTTTGTTTCTCATTTTATGTTATTCCTATATCCAAAGGCAGATGTAAATGTGATAATGTATACTACTTTCTTTTTTCTGTGCAGATATATTATTGTTTTGTTTAATTGGGCTTGAGATGAACCCGATAGGATTATATAGATGAAAAGAAAGAAATTTAATCAAATTGTAAAATTAAAATTCTGGTAAATAGTTTTGTTCTTTAAACAAGTCGGGATGAAAAGAAAATATTATCTTTCCATTTTACATTAGAGTGTTCAATGCAGTTTGAAAGAGACGAAAGATTTAGGTGTCACTTTTATTAAGACCCAAAGGCGAATTTCCCTGGTCGGTTTTACTAAAGGTTATTGTGATGTAATACTAATTTATATTATCACAGTGACTTTTGTTTTTGGGTATAATCACTGCAAGTATTCACATACATCTGTTCCCTGTGTGATGCGGCATTTTTCTGTCAATGCCATTCCAATTACATCAATAATCCAGATATTTCTGACACCATCTGGAATAGTCATACCACAAACTTATTCATAACCGCCAGTAGTGATATCAACATCAGTTTAAGATATCAGAAATTCAAAATTCGATTCATGGAATAAGTCGCGAAACTGAAAGAGGAAGCTAACTGCCATTGACGTGAACAACATTCCCGTTTGTTTCAATTCCGCTGTGTTGCAATGCGTACACCCAGATGACTGTATGTGTGTGCATGACAATCATTCAGTACCTTCCATCGAATTGTGAGTTCTTTCTAAATGCTCCGAGGTATATTGTTTTAGTTGTTGTTTAAAGCCTCACTTGGCAATAATCCAGAAATAATCACGACGACCTGTACATAATCGAGTCTGGACCAGACACACCCAGTGGTTGATATTACGAGCAACGTTGTCGGGACACGATAATACGCTGGCAAGCTGCAATATGTTCTGAGTCCCCGAGGCATACCAGAAACCTTTTATTGTGAGTTCGAATCCCGGTTTGCCCTGATTATGTTTTTAGGTTTGTCAGCACCGTACTGGCGCTTGTGGTTTTCACCAAAAGGGTAAACGTCTGATGTGTATCATTTCCTGTCTTCCCTCAGCAAAAGCTGACACGTCGTAATGTAACTGAAATACTGTTGAAAAAGCATCACTGACAATCAGATCCCTTTAGTTGCCTCTCACGAGGTCTATCGAGAGGTGTTCCGATGTAGATGGTAAAAGGTATATGACCTGTAGGTAGTATTAGTGTGTGTCAGTGTGAGAGTGACGTTTAACGCTGATCTGGAGGGCTTGGCAGCTTAGAGATGGAGAAAATCCCAAATTAATGCAAATCTTAACCATTTACCACTTTGATGAAACCCACAAGCATTGGCAAGATGGCCTTTTATGCCGACAGACCAAGGGAGGTAATCGGGGTGAATGTTGGGCGAATAGTCTGACCTTGTCATGACCTGGTGCTTGCATCCACTGACACACATATCCCCAAAGAAACATACGGCCGATGTCAAAAATAGCCCTCCAGTGCAAGCTGGTGAAAATAGCTTATGATTTGGTATGGATGTGCGCATTACCTCTAACAGCGACACAATCGGCTATGTTTTGAATCAACGCTGAAAAGATGGACGTTTAGCTGGCACAAGAGAATAACTGGCGAGATCTTGATTTAACAATTTTATGTTACCTTTCCTCAAAGGAACACAGCTTACTGTTTTCATATCGTCACCTGCAATAGTAAGCCGTCCTATGTCCATAGGCAAACGGTGTACTGTGGGGACGTAATTACATATTCATGCACGGTATCAAAGACACTGTTATGAGTTACGTTATGAACAATGTGTAAATTGCAATAAGATAATAAAGCATACATTCGTGGTACATGAAGAAAATCACAAAATATTGTTGATGACTTTAGTTACTTCAATAAGACCGCCTCCGTGGTCTAGTGGTAGAGCGTCCGCCCGGAGAGGGGAAGATCCGGGGTTCGATCCCCAGATTCGATCATACCAAAAGACGTTAAAAGATGGTACTTGTTGTTACCCTGTCTGGCGCTCGGCATTAAGGGGCTAAAACAAGGACTGGTAGGCTCGGAGTCAGTATACGGTGTCTGAGCGGGGTATTCATGTTAAACTGCAGCATGGTATCTCAGTGGGCTAGCACTATTAATCGGCATCAGTCCGGACTAGTACAAGCAGCCACACACGTGCATGCACGTTGCTATATAAGTGCAATAATCTTGGACGCGACGTTAAACCCCATTTCACCTCACCTCACCTTAGTTACTTCAAACATCACTGGATATATCATTATCTATGCACAGACCCGAACATGGGCATATTTTAACTATTTTACATTGGTGGGATAAATATACGGTTTATCTCAAATTGTTAAAAAAAAAAATTTCTCAAAGGTAACCATTCCTTTTATTTAAAGAATGGAAGACACCATTCGAAGAAGAATACACTAGTGAGTGCGGTAACGAGTGAGTATTATTCCAGACATATCCCGACACCACGAGTGAGCATTATTCCAGACATATCCCGATATGGGACACCACGAGTGAGCATTATGCCAGACATATCCCGACATGGGACACTTCGAGTGAGCATTATTCCAGACATATTCCAACATGGGACACCACGAGTGAGCATTATTCCAGACATATCCCGACAGGGGACATCACGAGTGAGCATTATTCCAGGCATATCCCGACATGGGACACCACGAGTGAGCATTATTCTAGGCATATTCCGAAATGGGACACCACGAGTGAGCATTATTCCAGACATATCACGACAGGGGACATCACGAGTGAGCATTATTCTAGGCATATTCCGACATGGGACACCACGAGTGAGCATTATTCCAGACATATTCCGACATGGGACATCACGAGTGAGCATTATTCCAGACATATTCCGACACCACGAGTGAGCATTATTCCAGACATATTCCGACACCACGAGTGAGCATTATTCCAGACATATCCCGACATGGGACACCACGAGTGAGCATTATTCTAGGCATATTCCGACATGGGACACCACGAGTGAGTATTATTCCAGACATATCCCGACATGGGACACCACGAGTGAGCATTATTCCAGACATATTCCGACAGGGGACATCACGAGTGAGCATTATTCCAGACATATCCCGACATGGGACACCACGAGTGAGCATTATTCTAGGCATATCCTGACATGGGACATCACGAGTGAGCATTATTCCAGACATATGCCGACATGGGACATCACGAGTGAGCATTATTCCAGACATATCCTGACATGGGACATCACGAGTGAGCATTATTCCAGACATATGCCGACATGGGACACCACGAGTGAGTATTATTCCAGACATATTCCGACACCACGAGTGAGCATTATTCTAGGCATATCCCGACATGGGACATCACGAGTGAGCATTATTCTAGGCATATTCCGACATGGGACACCACGAGTGAGCATTATTCCAGACATATCCCGACAGGGGACATCACGAGTGAGCATTATTCTAGGCATATTCCGACATGGGACACCACGAGTGAGCATTATTCCAGACTTATCCCGATATGGGACACCACGAGTGAGCATTATTCTAGGCATATTCCGACATGGGACACCACGAGTGAGTATTATCCAGACATATGCCGACATGGGACATCACGAGTGAGCATTATTCCAGACATATTCCGACACCACGAGTGAGCATTATTCTGGGCATATCCCGACATGGGACATCACGAGTGAGCATTATTCCAGACATATTCCGACACCACGAGTGAGCATTATTCCAGACATATTCCGACACCACGAGTGAGCATTATTCCAGACATATTCCGACACCACGAGTGAGCATTATTCTAGGCATATCCCGACATGGGACACCACGAGTGAGCATTATTCTAGGCGTATTCCGACATGGGACACCACGAGTGAGCTTTATTCCAGACATATCCCGACATGGGACACCACGAGTGAGCATTATTCCAGACATATTCCGACACCACGAGTGAGCATTATTCCAGACATATTCCGACACCACGAGTGAGCATTATTCTAGGCATATCCCGACATGGGACACCACGAGTGAGCATTATTCTAGGCGTATTCCGACATGGGACACCACGAGTGAGCTTTATTCCAGACATATCCCGACATGGGACACCACGAGTGAGCATTATTCCAGACATATTCCGACACCACGAGTGAGCATTATTCCAGACATATTCCGACACCACGAGTAAGCATTATTCCAGACATATTCCGACACCACGAGTGAGCATTAATCCAGACATATCCCGACATGGGACAGCACGAGTGAGCATTATTCCAGACATATCCCGACATGGGACATCACGAGTGAGCATTATTCCAGACATATCCCGACATGGGACATCACGAATGAGCTTCACACAGTTTACCCATGTTAGGAATCGAACAGGGGCCTTTCGCGTTATGAGGGCCCTCAAGGAGGCAATCAATTTACTCAGATGAAATAGGCATCAAGACATATATGTTTGAGACGTACTATATATACAGTTTAATCTTTAGCCATATTAGAAATAACTTCACTATTTAAGAACGTAACCGTTGCTTATCATAGATGAAGTCGAATCATTGAATGTTTTCTAGGGACTACAGCATACATGATGTATTTGCTATCTGCTATGATTAGTTGATACCTACATGTACTGCGCTTTGTAAGAAATTGTCGGCATTGGGCAAATACCATTGTGTCAAAATTACAACATCAGAGAATAGTTAATGTTATACTAGTAGAGCTGTGGGCTATATAACTCCTTGGGATTTCAGACTCGGGTACACTGGCCTGAATAAAATCAAGGGACTCGAAGCACGATCCTCTCTGGTTTCAAGGCTAGCTCCTAATAGCTCATTCCCCATATCGAGGCCAGGCAGTATTTTGAGCACTCAGCAATCAAAGCTGTTTTCAATGGTGGAACGGTTCGATTCACGAAGCCCAGAGTCAGCCCTGAAAACTGAAAGACTTCGAGGGCACCTATACCAGGCTGCCCCCTAGCAGCACCACCTCCCTCGTTCGAACCACCACTCCCCCCCCCCCCCTCCATCCCCCACTCCCCCCCCCCATCCCCCACTCCCCCCCCCCCCCCCCCCCCCCCCCCACACACACACACACACACACACACACACACACACACACTCCCACCTCCCAACATCAACAGAAGAAACGTGGTCAATCTTCTCACTATCGTCAGTCAAATCGTCTCAGAACAGACAGCAGCATCTCACAACAATGGCGCATGTAGATTTCCCCAAATACAGTGGGCAGCAGGATACTGAAAGTTGGTGGGCAGATTCCCGAACTTCAACATCCTCCACGAGCACTCTGACAACAGATCCTTTACCGACTACCATGTTTCCATTCTGTTTGGAATCCTGACTGTTCTCTTGGCAACTCTTATCATCCTAGTCTTTTACAAACAATGATCTCAACAACTCCATTATCTTTTCCTAAAACTCACTCCTCGTCCTGAGAGTGTCACCATTCAATTTGTCCACACATTCTTTATCCGTCCTATTTGCACATCCAACCCTCTTCTGTCATGGAACATCTGCAAATCTCAGGATATTTCTTTCCCTCTCTGAATTGGTCTGATTGCCTTGTCATCAATAAATTAACTGAACATTCTCTCAACATCCCACCATCGATATCTATCTATTTTTCCGTTTGCTGCTCAGACCCAGTCACTTACCGCTCAAGGCCGTCAATGACTGATTTTGAATCAAAATGTAAATATGAAATGCA